AGCAGTTTACACTTCATTTAACTGGGACTCCAGGGACCAGACAGATTAGTCTGCAGGGTCAATTTTTCACCTCAGAGGACCTGAGTTATACCACTGGGCTGAGAGAGGTCAAGGTAAAGCCAGGCTTGAGGGTAACTTGTCAAAGACACCATTGTCTTTGCATTAAACTGTGCATGCATAATTTATCATAATGCTTGGAGTTCAAGGACTGGCTGTTAGGATACAGTTCCCGGCAGGGTCTCAGCTGCTTAGGAAATGGTGAAAGGATTTGGAGCTGGAAGGAGCCTTAGAGACCAGCTGGTCCAACCCTATCCTTTTACAGACAGGGAAACAGGTCCAGAAAAGGAAAGCAACCTTCCACAAGGCCATGAAGTGAGTAAGAAACTGATAAGAGGTTTGAGCCTAGTTCTTCAAACTCCAAATTCAAGCACTTTTTCCTATAGGAAGTCTTCTCTAGTCATTGGCATTTCTCTTCTCTTTCCCCACTTTCCAATCACCTTGTATTTATTTCATGTTTACTTGTTGGGTACATATTATTGCCCCCCAATAGAATGTAAACTTGTTGAGGGCAGAAATTGTTTCATTTTTTGTTCTGTATCCTCAACACCTAGTATAGGGCCTTGTATGCAATAGGAACTTAATAAATGTTTTTTTCAATTAAATTCATAGGATCATAGAATCTACCCTCACCAGTAGAATGGATCTGAGAAGCCACCTAGTTCAGCCCCCTTATATTTACATATCAAACCTTCAAGGTTCTATGGAACTCTTAATCTCTGATATTAAGATGCTGTGACTAGAGTAACTCTCCAATACTTCTTGGTGTGGCATGGTGCAAAAAGCACAGGATTCAGTGTTGAAAAGAATTTGGTTCCATTTTTAACTTTGATATTTGCTAACTGTATGACTCTGGACATCTATCTTCCTTTCTCTGAGCCTCCATTTCCCTATCTTTAAAATGGATTAGCAAAGGAGGAAAATATAGTGTTAACCTTTGGGTGCTGCATATTAATATTATTTTTTCTTATATTGCTCATTGTCTTGGTCAGGGAGATGCTGTTTCTGGTATGATAGAAACAGAAGTGTTTCAAGGAAGAAGGGCAACTGTCAATAAATAGCTATGACTTTGGGTAAGGCATTTAATCTTTCTGGGTTTCAATAAAATTAGGGGGCGAGACTAGATGATCTCCTTTAGGTCTCATCCAAATCTAACATTCCAGGATTTTAAATAAAGTGGAGGCTAAGGGATACAAGAGTGACACAGAGTACAGTAAACCCTCCCTATAACTTATGCCCTAAGCTCTCCTACATGACTTATGATTTTCTGTCCTACCTTTGAATCTTAACTTCTCCAGACTAAGCATCACCGGATCTCCAGCCAATCCTGCTATGGTGTGGGTTAACCCCATACTCCTTCCTAACTTCCCTGGCACTGTCCAGGGTACTACCATCCTCCCAGTCATCCAGGTTCTGGCCCTCCAAGTCATCCTCAATTCCTCACTTTCACCAATCCCTCATATCCAATCCATTGCCAGTTCTTATGCTTTCCACCTCTATAACACCTTGCTATCCATCCCCTTCTTTCCACTCACACAGCCATTACCCTAGTGCACTCTCTTATGACTTCTTACCTGGACTCAGAATTATCTCCTATTTGGCCTCCCTTCTTCAATTCCAGTCTCTACTTGACTGGGCCCCCATAGTGATTTTCTTAAAGATTATAGGTCTGAGCATGTCACCCCCCATACTCAATAATCCCTGGTGACTCCCTGTTCCCCCTAAGATCAAATATAAACTCCACTGTTCAAGACTGAAAGGCTTTACAACCTGGGCCCACTCAGTATTTCCAGCCTAATTATATTGATTTGCTTCATGTATACTGGAATCCAAACAAACTGGCTTTCTTATTCCTCACATGTGACAGTCTCATCTCATCCCATCTCCTGGCCTTTTCCCTGGCCCTCTCCTATATCTGCAATGTATTCATTCCTCACTCTCACCTGTTGGAAGCCCTGGTTCCTTCTAAGATACAACCTAAATGCCATATTCTACAAGAAGTTTTATTCCCTCCCTCCCAAAACAACCTAGTATTTATCTTTGTTTATATGTTTATATTTCTACATGTACCTTTTGTCTCTTTACTGTGAATACCCTTCTTGAGGGCAGAAATATTTTTCCTTTTGTCCCTGTGTCTTAGGTGCTTAGCACTGGCATGTAGCAGATGTTCAATAAATGTTTATTGAGTGATGGATGTAAGAAACAGGACCGGATCATGTCTTAGGGTTCATAGAATCACAGAATTTGAGATCTGATGAGATTTCAGCTGCTACTTAATCCAACCCATGCCATAAAAAGTTTCCTCCATAACCCACAAAACAAGGAGTCATCTAGTCTTTTCAAGAAGACATCCAGGAGTGAGGAGGAAGCCTACTCCTTCCCAAGGCAGCCAGTTCCACTTTGTGATTGCTCTAATTGTAACAAAAAAAAAAAAAAGTTTTTCCTGACATGGAGATTTAATTTATCTTTTTGTGACATCTATGAATACTCCTAGGGGTGCCCTTTAGCGCTAAACAGAACAAGTTTAATCCCTTTCACACAGCCTTTCAAGTACTTGAAGATAGCTATCATATCCCCATGTCAGAATCTTAATTTCTCTGGGCTAAACATCACCAGGTCCTCTATTCAATCCTCACATGAAATGGGTTGAAGTCCCTTCAATTGTCTGCTTTTCAATTTATTGATGTCTTTCCAAAATGGTAGCACCCAGAGCTGAACACAATAATTTAGCTGTAGTAAGACCAGAGTGGATTACAGGAGAAGTATCACCTCCTTATTCCTGGGAGTTCCTCTCTTAAAGCAACCTAAGATCTCACTAACTGTCTTGGCTGCCATATTTCATTTTGACACATATATAATACACAGTACCCTGAAGCCATAGCACATAATATTAAAATACACCACGTAGACTTTAGAGTTTACAAAGCATGTGCCTTACAACAATCCTGTGAACTAGTGTAGATATTATTGTACTTGTTTTATAAGTGAGGAAACTGAGGCAAGTAGGAGATTTTTTTTCAAGTCCTAGAAATAGAATACGTTATTTTGCATGTCAAGGCACAAAAAGCACTGCTTTCCTTACAATTAACTTTATGATGTAGGTAGTAAAATTATTGGAATCCCCATTTTCCAAATAGGGAAACTGATATAGGTTCACTGAAGTTAAGTACTCCATGGAGTAGAAGGAACACTAGACTTGGAGTCAAAAGGCTTGAAAGACATGAATTTTAGTTTCATTTCTGCTTTCACAATAATACTTTCTGCCTTCAAAATACTGTCTCACACACATGTACCTGCACACATGCACATGTGCACACACACACACACACACACACACACACACACACACACACACTGAATAGCGTCCTTAGGCAAGATGACTTTTCAAAAGTCATGTAGCAGAGCTGGAGCTACAAGTCAGATCCCCCAGTCTCCCATATCTAATATTCTTTCCATTAGAACATGGCATCTCTTATGGCATGAGTTATGGGTGGTGGGGGAGAGAATGGATCTGGCAGTCATTTTTCCCCTGTCTCTCTGAAGACTTGCCTGTGCTCTAGACTACCCAAGTGACCTTGAGCAAGTTACTTCCTCATTTTGGATCTTACCATACTTTAGAATTGGCAGTGCTGGTAAATGTTTAACAACCTACTTTTCAAAAATAAAAGTAAAAAATACACATGAGACACTTTCAAGTTTCATCCTCATCATTAACATTTTGTCCATCCCTTTTCTCAAATCTAGACGATCATCAAAACAAGCCGTGATGTGGAGCAGTTGTCTATCTCTGAGGTGTAAATGCTCACACTGAAAATTTAACAGTCTGCTTGTGTTTGAGCCAACTCCAGCATTCGCTGCCTGAGATCATAGATTTAGAGCTGGAAAGGACCTTAGAGAAAATATCCATTCCATTTTCCGGAGGAAAAACTGAGGCCCGGAGGAGTGTTTTCCTAACCCAAAGTGAATCCCTTTTTAGAATCCTGAATTTCCTGATCTGCAAAATGAGAGCATTGGTTTTCAAACTTCTTTTCAAACAAAGCTTCAGTGGAGTCCCCAGCAGTAAGATGATTTTAAATAATTTTAAGGTCAATGGTTCCAAGTTATAAAAGATGAATTTAGTCCTTTCCATTTCTAAGATTCAGTGTGGTACACACTGGAATAGAGTACTAACTGTGAGGGCAGAGACTCTGGGTTCAAATTCTCTTACCTCTGAATGCTTGCTAACATTTCACTGGAAATTTTCTCCATCTGTCATCCATGCCTGGAATGCTCTAGCTCCCCATCTCTATCTCCTGACTTACCTGGCTTTCCTCAAGCCCAAGCTAACATTCCACCTTCTATTAGAAGCCTTTCCCAATTCCCCTTTAATGGTAGCCCCTTCCCTCCATTGATTATTTCCCATTTATCCTCATTATAGCTCATTCATACATAGTTGTTTTTCTCCCCCATTAGATTGGGAGCTCCATGAGAGCAGGGATTGTCCTGTCTTTCTTTGTACCCCCAGAACTTAGCTCGGTGCCAGGCACAGAGTAGGCACATAATAAATGTTTATTGACTGACTTACTGACCACAAGTGACAACCTCCACAGGCTCCCTGTAAAATGATGGGGCTGGACTGGATGTCCTCAGAGTTCCCTTCCAGCTCTGGATGACCAGTTAGCTGTCAAAACAAATTATTTTGGATATGAGAACTTAGCTGTTCCTCCTGGGATCTTTTTGTCTGGAAATAGTTGAAAAGCCTTCAGGTTGAGATGGAGGCTACTGATGAGGGAATAGGAAGATGGATAAAGATGAGTTTGTTTCATAGATTGATCTCTGGTTTCCCCCTTTCCTCTGGGCTATGATTCAGTCACAAGATGAAGACTTCTCCTTCAATGAGCTTTCTTGAGTTAAACTTTTGGGGAAAACAAAGCCTTCCTGATTTCTTTGCTTCTCTCGGACAGGTTGTGTATGTCACCGCCACGTTCCCCTACATCATGCTTCTGATTCTTCTCATTCGAGGGGTGACGCTGCCCGGAGCTTCCGAAGGGATCAAGTTTTACCTCTACCCTGATCTCTCTCGACTCTCCGATCCCCAGGTAGGCTTTGCTCATGGACTGACTTGTCCCAGCCCTTCGTCTCACTTGTGACTAGCCTTACTTTCCTTATCTGTAAAAAGAAGAGATTGGAGAAAATGAGCTCTTCAAGCTCAGCCGTTCCATAGAATCTGTACTATAGAAACAATACATAGGTATAGAGAAACCTATTCATTCATATCGCAAACCGGTGGTGTAGACTCCATGGCCCACTCACTGGCATTATATCTGAAATATATAGTACCTAGGAGGAAATAAGTAGTCATAGGGGTAGAGATTTAGAGCCAGAAGAGACCTTGAGTCTAACTAATCCCCCTTATTTACAGATGAGGAAACTGAGGCAGACAGCAGTTAAACAACTTGCCCAGAGTTACACAGCTAGTAACTACTACAATGTACTTAGTAACTAGTAACTACAAACTAGTAGCTAGTTTGAGGCAAAATTTGAACCTACTGAGTCACCTACTCTTGCAAACCAGAATATATACAATGTTGGCAAGTATTTTTCCAACTCTAAGATTCTAGGTCTAGGTGAAAGACTAGGTCCAAGTACTACCCAGTAATGTATTTAGGTGTACGTACCTTGTGGCATAAGGAATAGACAGGAATCAATGTGATATGGTGAAAAGACGCAAGTTGAGTCCTGACTTTGTCTCCAACTTGCTAGGTGACCTTAGCAAGTCCTTTTTACTTCCATGAGACTCAATTTCTGCCACTGTAAACTGAGGGGATTGATCATTGACAGACTTAGATGGAACCTCCAAGGTTTTAAGTCCAACCCACTTGCCTTCACATACTCAGTCGGTATTCCAGTCAAACTGGCCTCCATGCTGTTCCCAGTATTCAACATTCTATCCCCAGTGTCTCTTGCCTTTGCACTGGATGCCAGGCCCCCTACAAGCCTGGAATGCTCTCTCTCCCCATCTCCACCACTTGGCCTCTCTAATTCTCTTGAAGATTCTGCTTAAATGCCACCTCCTACAAGAGGCCTTCCCAGATATTCCCAACAGTTAATTTCCCACCCTACCCCACCCCACCACCAAAATTCTTTCTTTCTTTATCTTGAATTTGTTTTGTATGCTCTTATCTGTGTAAATGTTGCTCTCCCTCATTCTATGAACTTGAACATTCTACATGAAATGTAAGCAAGGGCTATTTTCTTTTTGTCTTTGTATCCTCAGTGCCCAGCACAGAGCCTGGCACATTGTAGGCCATAAATAACTTCCTGTTGAAGTGAATTGAATTGAATTGAACATCAATGACAGGTGGTGTCTAGCCTTTGCTGAAAGATTCCACAGCAGTTCATTCTAGCTCAAGGATTTTTTTAAACTCTCTCAGTGTTAGCTAAGGTCACAGCATGTAAACAAGATTTCTATTTGGCTGAGACCTCAGTCCTGAGCTCTCCCTCCCCATAGCTGATAAGCTGTAAACAACCCTTCAGGAATGGAAGAGAAACATCAATCTGGAAAGGACCTTTGAGGTCATCTTGCCTGGCCCCTCATTGGTAACAGAACCGAAAGAGAAATTAAGTCCATCATGCAGGTTGTGTGCTTCGGACAGTCGGATGGTGATGTTCAGGGCTGGAATGGCAGCTTAGAAACCCATGTCAGAATGCATCTTGTTCAAGCCTCCCCCTCAGTCCAGGGAACCGTGAAGGGTTGTAGCCAGAGTACATCTGTGCTCGCGTTAGACAGTTGGAGGAGTCTTGAAGGAATTGCCGCGCAGCTTTGGATTACCTGAGGCTGCTTCCAGAGATGCTTTGAGAGGTTAGAGAATCATGTTAGCAATGGATGGGAGATTTTCACAAAAAAAAAAAAGCAAGGGATACAACCTAGAATAAAAAAAGCAGCAGATTCAGGGGCTTCATTCCCAGTCTTCTTCCTCTGAACCACATAGCAAAATGCAATGGAAAGAATACATAATTAGGAGGTAGTAGGTCTGGGTTCAAGACTTCTATCTTGTCACTTATTGTCTGAATGACCTTGGACTTTTCAAGGCAGTCAACCTAATAGCAATTAACAGTTGGCTGGTTGTTGTCCTTCGTTTTTTAAGAGGACCAAAATGACATCACTATGCTAGAGTCAAGTTTTTGTGTTTCCAACTGTGGCTGATCAGACCAATACAAGCTTGGAATGGTCTATCACAGGCTGGGCGCAAATAGTCCATGTGAACATTTGGGGCGGATTCTCTAAGTTTGCAAATCTTGCATTTCTCCTGAACTGTTTCAATTCTGCTTCGCTCATAGTGCATAGCACCTTCCCCGACGTGGGCACCCCATGCTGAGTGCTCCTGTGCCAGTGTCTCCCATGTCACACAATCAATTCCAAAGTTCTTAAGAGAGACCTTGAGAATGTCCTTGTATTGCTTCTTCTGACCACAATTTGAATGCTTGCCCTGAATGAGTTCTTGTATTTGAACAATGTGGCCAGCCCATCAGAGTTGCGCTCTCTGAAGCAGAGTGTGAATGCTTGGGAGTTGAGTTGGAGAAAGGACCTCCTTGTCTGAATCTTATCCTGCCAAGTGATCTTCAGAATCTTCCTAAGACAATTCAAATGGAAGCGATTCAGTTTCCTGGCATGGCACTGGTAGACTGTCCAGGTTTCACAGGCATACAATAATGAGGTCAGCGCAAAAGGCTCTGTAGACCTTTGGTTTGGTAGTCAGCCTAATACCTCTTCTCTCCCATTCTTTTCTTCTGAGCCTCCCAAACACTGAGCTAGCTCTGGCAATTCATGCGTCAACCTCATTATCAATGTGTACATTGCTGAAAAGTACACATTGATAATGAGTTAAAAATGGAGACTTGGAGACCCTTATCATCAATGCACCAAAAGCAGACAAGCTTATAATTCTGGGTGACTTTAATGCTAGAGTGGGCTCAGACTACCAGAATAGCAATTAACAATGTTATCAACAATCATAAATTAATTTATTGACAAACCAATAATCAATAAACATTTATTAAGAATCTACTATACTCCAGGAACTGAGCTAAGTCCTGGAAAGACAAATATGAAAAAGAAAGATAGTCCCTGCCTCAAGGAGTTTACAATCCAATGGGGAGAAGACAACACATAAAAGAAAGCTGAAAGGAGGTAGGGGAAAGGTGTCTGCATGTAGACATGGAGGAGAAACCAGAGATATCCAAAATGAGTGCAGCCAGGTGGGAAATGAGAAGTCTGATGAAATGTCAGTCCTGCTTCCCCCTCAAGTAGAGGAGTTTATGGTTCTACTCTCCAATCAGAGGAGCAAATGGTACTGAGAAGGTGTGAGCTGTTACTGTTGTTGTCGTTGTTATACCGTTGTATCTGACTCTTTGTGAGCCCAGTTGGGATTTGCTGGGCAGAGATACTGGAGTGGTTTGATATTTCCTTCTCCAGCCCATTTTACAGATGAAGAAACTGAGGCAAACAGGATTAAGTGACTTGCTCAGGGTCACACAGCTAGTAAGTATCGGAGACCAGATTTGAATTCATGAAGATGAGTCTTCCTGACTCCAGTCCAGGAACTTTATCCACTAGGCCACCCAGCTGCCCAAGGTGTGAGTAGCAAGGTGTGAGGAACTGGGTCTTGCAAAGTGATGAGACTTCCCAATGATGAGTTTACTGGGGGTGTGGTGGTGGAGAAACTAAAGAAGTCCCAAATGAGTGTACCTGGGTGGGAATTGGGCCTCAGTTTCCTCATCTGTAAAGTGAGGAGGTTGGACTAGATGTCAGTAGAATGAGCACTGGCTCTGGGGTGAGAGGATTGAAATTCAAATCTACTCCTGACACTTGTGACCTATGTAACCTTGGGCAAGTCACTTAACATCCTCGGCCTCACCTTCCTCATCTAGAAAAAGAGGAGGTTGGCCTAACTAGCTTCTGAGGTCCCTTCTGCCCTTAAATCTGTGGTATTCCAGATTACTAGGGGAATAAATGCCTGTCTTACAGATGATTCTACCTGGGGTCTTAGCCACCACCATCTCTCACCATATTCTGGACCCTTCCCCTGCTCCTAATCATCTCCTTTGGAGGATGGGGAGAGTGTCACCGGAAGACTAGGAGTTTCAAAGCTATAAAGGTCATCTAGTACAACTCCTGTATTTTACATCTGAGGACCACAAGAGGGCGCAGTCCAAAAACTCCATATTTACTAATAAGGTTAATAACGTATTAGGAAAGTCATTACTGGTGCTGGAGAGGTTAAAAATTGTTGGCTTATTTTTGGTTAGATGTTGTTCTGAACAATGGAAAGAGGCCCATAGTGTCAGAGGAGCTGGGTTCATACTCTGCCTCTGCTGCTTATACTCATATAACCTTGGGCAAATCACCTCTGTGGACCTCACTTTTCTTCCCTATAAGATGAAAGTCATGGAATAGAGGACATTTAAAGTTCCTTCCAGTGCTATGAGCCTATTATGAATTGGAGGATTATCTGTGGATTTCCATTACCCATAGATATCTTCCTTCTCTAGTCCCACATTCAGTGACCAAGGATAATTGAGAGTTGGCTCCCTTAGGCTGAGAAAGTAGGGCAACACTGCTGCTTGGCATCAAAACTTTATCAGGGAAAAGAAAAATCACATTTAAAGGTTCCATAGGAATCCAGTATTGCTGCTTTTAATGGAATTCTCAATTTAGCGAGTCCAGATGCTTTTGTTGAATAAGAAGTCTGTCTTGTTTTTTTCAATTTGTTCATTCAATTGTACCAACAAAGAAAAGTTTGGTGAAATTGTAACTGGGCCTGGTAAATTTCTCTAACAAATCTTGAGTGTTTGGCTGGGACTGGGAATGGAGGCAGTACAGGGCAATGGGAAGAAATGATGGATTTGAAATCAGAGGCTCTGGGTTTGAATTCTGCCTCTGCCACTTACTAACGCTATGACCTGGAACAAATTGCTCACTTTCCTTCTTCTCTGGGTCTTAGTGTCCTCATATCTTAAATGTCCAGGCTGGACTAAATCAAAGCTTCTTAACCTGGGGCCCATGAACTTGTGTGTATGTGTGTGTGTGTGTGTGTGT